TTAGACAGCACTGATGCAAGGTTAGAGGACCGATGAGAACAGACCCTGCTGGACCTATCAGAAGCGAGTAAGAAAAAATCAAGTTGAGCATGTACTTCCCATTTTCCCCATCTCTGACGATGCGCGTATACTGCCCGTTAGGTAGATTGTCAGTGTCGAAAGCATACAACCTTGTCGCTGTGGGCAGTGTTCTCTCGGACAGCGGCGACCAGCTGTGCCTTGATTACTCCTGGGCTCCTCGATTTCGTCGTAGAAAGGGTGCTCAAAAATTAGCTGCCGGTAGGTGCTCGTAACACTGCATCGTGAGGTTTGGCGCAGAAGCCTCGTAGGCAGTTGCACATTCACCAGTAATATGGGAGAGAGGGGTGAGTTCTTGCTCCGATGACTGCCCAGAGAAGCTTGCGTAATCTTGGGTCTTACACCTACTATATCAGATGTTTTATCCACTGTCCTTCCCAAGATCGGATTCGCTGCGAATACATGGATAGGCTAACTGGCGTGATAGGATTGTCGTTAGAAGGAGTTTTGCTGAATCAGAGCTTAGTTGTTCTGGGGAGGGATTTTGGATGCAGATGACTGTCCGGCAGCTGCTAGTAGAGAGCAGATTCATTGGCGTTCCCAACAGTAATGTGCTGGGTGCTTTAGCATTAACACTCACAAGGGCTCAGTGACCCCGATTAAGACAAGACCTCTTCTGCAGGCATTATGACCAGAGCCACTTATTTTCCTTTCCTCAGTCGCAGAGGGTCAGATGATGGTCACTTCACACCAGGCTTAAGAGCCTTGGATCATTCTTCGATTGGGAGATGATGTAGTAAGTCAGTAGTCCTCTTTATAGCCGCCTCAGAATCAGCTTTCTCGTTTATTCTTGTTACTGTGACGCACAGGGGGCGGAAGCGAGGCTCCGCAGCGTTTGACAGGACTGCTTAAGGCGCAAAAGTCATTGCCTTCGCTGAAACCGGGGTTAGCTGCCCGGATAATTTGCTAAGAGTCTCCCCTACCACACCTGCGTCGACAACTCCGTCCGTGTGCTAACAGCAAAGTACCCTAGCAATCAAGAAGTCAAGTTTGGCGAACGTACGTTTTCGATTATTCATCTCCAGCCAATTAACATAATATGTAAGGGAGGGTGCAGTGACACAGGTTTAAACATCAAATCAACAGTAGGTAAGTAATTAAAGGGACAGGGTGTTCAGAGATCAAGGCGTCAGATTCTAGCCCGATCAAGGGATCGGGAGGGGGAGAGGGTAAGGGGTCCGGCAGTTAGTTCATGTTGCTGTGTTGTCGCTGTAAAGCGACGTAGTGGGAGGTTTGAGGAGGCATTCTGGGTTATTCTTCGGCCAAGAGAGCCTTAGTGCCTGTAAAAACGCCTCCTGGGCGCACAAAATCGGAATAAGTTAGCCGTACGGGGACTGCCTCTGCTGGCCCAAGTATCCGCTGATGCGGGAACTTGAATAGTTTCATCAGCACTTTATAAATGACTCGGAACGCTTGCTTGATGTCTACCCGGTGAACATTGTCAACCAAGTGGGCAAACATCGCGCTAGATATGGATTTTACTAAGCCTAGGTTTAGCTAGTCAGGATGTTGTTCTCGCATACATCGAACAATATAACCCGCTCTAAAGGAGCAAGTAAAGATGTAGATGCACATTAAAAAGGCCTGAAACGGGGGAGGGGGTCTATTCTTGCATTTGAGAGGACGAAGTGGCGTGCTTGAAAATCCTAGTCTTATTTTAGCTGCTGCTGGATACGCGCTGGATCGTATTCATTGTAATTGCCTGATGATTAATAATCGAAAACGTAAGTTTGACAAACATGACTTTTTGAATGCTTATATAGGCATCATCGCTGAATCTCCTAGCAAATTCAACCTGAGCAGGGAAAACTGTTCTCCGTAGAGAGTCGTGAACTGCAACCACTCAGAAATTAAAGGAGTGATCTCCGTGGTTGGCCAGCAAACATGTCAGACCTCCATTTATAGCAGCTACAAGCCTAAATTATAAGAAAAATACATCTGGTGACGCAAGCCTGCACGGTGGGTGTACTTAACGCACAAACACATTTGTACAACTTATTATTCCTCCTTTCGTCCTCAAACAGTTTTAAATTGATTGAATACCTGTACTCATTACGCGCAGTGTGTACATATTTTGTTTATTTTATTGGATAAAAGTTAAGTTGGTCGGCCACCTTAGATACCCCTAGCCCTATGATTAATTTTAGTTTTATTAATTCTCGTTAATTTTTTAGTTTATTATTTAGTTTATTCATTTAATTTTATTGTCGTTTTTGGCTTTCTTACATGCCGCAAACGTTGGATAAACATACTCAAATAACTACTATATAATAAACTAAACTAAACTATCAAAATAAATAACAAACTAAGAACCAAACTAAAGTCATACCTTTAGTTGACCCAATTGTGAAAAAGCTCGCGGCATTCGGCGTAATTTGAACCCGTATAATAGGGAAGGCCTTTAGGCGAAGCCAATGCTCTACCATTAAGCTACAAATGCCACGCTTCACACCGTGACTTTAATCACACTCGCATCGATTTTACCCGCCCAACTTTACTGCTCGTATAGAATCCGCCAATACGGAACGGAAAGCTGGCTGCCCAAGCAGGAATTCCTAAGCAATCATCTGGAATCCACCAGAATGACTGCTAGGCTGACTAGGCTCCTAAATGATTAAGTCAGCCTAGTAGTCATTCTGGTGGAAATCTTGCTTAGGCAGTCAGCTTGCTGTTCCGTATTGGTGAATTCCATACGAGCAGTAAAGTTGGACGGTAAAATCGATATAATTGCGATTAGACTCACGGTGCTAGGCGTGGTATTTGTAGCTCAACTGGTAGATCATCGACTTCGCGTAAAGGCCGTCTCTACAATGCGGGTTCAAATCCCGCCGAATGCCGCGAGTTTCTTTGCAATTGGGTCAAGTAAAGTAAGCAAATCTGCCAACCCTATTAAATAAAGTAATACCACCAGTCCTGTAGGATAGAATTTTGGGATTATAGGTCTCTAAGGTGGGCGACCAATTTGAATTTCATTTTTTTGAATTCTACCTTCCTTATATGCATTCTGTAATCTATAAAGTCTACCCTGTTAATCTTTCTAACAGTGAAAAAGAGAATGCCAGCCATTAAGTCTATAGTAGCATGAGACTCATTCGGTGAACCAACCAACCACTCCCTCCACCCTCAACCCACAAGACCGGCGTGTCAACTTACCAGATATGGATGCGGGGTCGCAGTGTGATTTTGGTCGGCTGTCGATACTGCATCAGCAGCAAAGCCTGAATGGACGACATCAGGACCGTCAGAAGGGGAAGGGCTTAGTGGTGGGGACGTTGTTGAGGGTGATCGTACTCCGCCATCGTTGTCCAGCTGACCCGAGAATCGGGCCTGTAGCTGCTGCAGCCTCTTCTCGGCGTGTCTGCGAGCCCGAATTTCCCTTTTTAGGCGCTCACTTTGACGAAGAGGAGAAAGTAAAGAGGGAGCGTAGAACATGAAGATTGAAAAAAAACACTCATTAGGCTTATGACATAAGCACAAGCCCAATACATCGACGTAGTACTAAAAGCAACGCAACAGGAAAGAATAATACTAGTTTGTTGAATTGCGATGTTAGCCTAGTGGGCAGGAGTTTCCCTGGTAGTGGCGGAACAAAACTCCACATTTCCAGGTTTGTCGACAGCG